AAAAACAAAACATAGTGGGGTTGCGACCAAAGCATGGATCCAGACCAGCCTGCGCATCCGCGCAGTATTATCAGATTCCATGCTGTTCGCTATCAACCAGTTTCTTTCTACTTGTAATAGGGTTTGGTAAGCGAGCAGCATTGATCCTGATCAGACTGCGCGGATTTGCGCAGGCTGGTCTGGATCCGTGCTGATCGCAAACCCACTATGTTGGTTTTGTCGTGACGCGGCTCAAATGTTACTACATGATGATATCCGTCCGTACTTTATTGAAGATTTCAATATTAACATACATGAATATGTGGCATTATATTTTCAGATTTTTATATTTCGTGCCTAGTTTTTTCAAAAGTAACATGCAATGTTCTAAATTGCCTCTGATATTAACATAAATTTATGTTGGACCAATGGATTTGTTGGCCCTTAATTCAAATATATATTGGTCCTTAAGAGCCATAATATAAGTATATATAGGTCATGAATGCCATAATTTGAATAGTGCATGATATTACCCCCAAAAGTCGGAAGTCCTATTAATGTATAAGTAACAATGATTACACATGTTTTAGATATAATATTTGTAATGTTCGCTTTAAAGAAGTACGCCTCCAGATTCATGCTTATTATCATGAAACTTTTGAAAATGTATTTTAAAGTATAATATTTTTGAGTTAACCAAAAGGAAGCATTTTTTACACATTATCAAATGTCACTTTACTAACGACGTAAAATTACCAAAAGTGGTAAAGATATGCATTAACAGCCTTAACTGCATTAGTAAAGGAAGTAAATATACATGTATACTGTAAACCAGTCATTAATCGCACATAACATGTAAATTATTACTTGAATTTTTACTTTTTCTAAAATATTAGTACTTTTTTCTCAAATTTGATTTTATTGAAATATATTGGCTCATTTGGAGGCATGGTGCTTTAAAATAGAATTGTAACACTTATTGTGGTCCCTTGTCAATATTTAACAACGCTAAATGATCTCTCGATCTTATCACTGATCGAGTAACTGATATACAATCTGAAAAAGACCCTACTAGATTGCACTTTGATGGCCTTTATTTAAAACTACAATTGTCCCATTATAGCTTGGTTTTCTTTATTATTTTCTGTAAAGTTATTGTGTTGGTAAAAATACTTTTTTGTTTAACAAACAAAACGTTTGTACAATGGAAATTGCTCAAATAGTTTGCATTTGTAGAATATGTATTATTTAAAGGTTTTCTTCTTTGTTTTCTTGAGTTTATTTTTTCATAAAACCAAACGATACTTTATTTGTAAATATACAAGCCAGTATACTAAATAGTGCGGGCGTAGACCTCGTAGCTAATGTGTTTATGGCCCTTCATTACAAGTCAATCTGATTGGTATCAGGTTTATTACGAAAATGTACGAGAAAACAGAAGGTCCCGTAGGGCTTTCGTACTTTTTACCAAAAAAAAATACATAAGAGATTTAACATTTATTCGGGTCATCGGTTATGATGTCCTTTATAATACACAATCATAATCATCAAAAGACACTTTCTTCTGACGTCAGTATGTAATAAAGTTGATTTAAATACAATATAAGACTATCAAAACCCTCTATTTTATTTTATATTATGATAAAAACGATTTTATAGACCTCCATAACGTGAGAAAAAAATGATATAAAAGTATTTTAGAAATATCACCTTTTGTAGAAAGCTACGCAGTTCGTGCAAATTTATTGATAGTACATATTGAAAAGTGTGATCACTGTTGAAACAGATATTCTTGTGAACAAAGTTATATAAATGACGTCCATGGCATATTCAATCGTATTTCAGTGTTAATTGCCACGTGTCCAGGCATTTTAATGTTAAACCGACTTGACTAGCTGGTCAAATATCATTTTGAAATTGCTTGAAATTTGTCTGTTCTACATCCGAACAGACATCTGTTACATAAATAGAAATGTGTACAAGCCTATCACTGGGAAAACTCTAACCATTGATAAGAAAAGGATTTCATATAATACTGTGACCTTGACCTAAATGACCTCAAAGTCAAACAGGTTGTCCTACTGGCAATGGACAATGTCACTGTGGCTTCATAAAAATGCTTGCTCATGTTGTTACTTCCCAGTTATTGTTTAGAGAAGGATTTTACACGGAGTGTCTCTTTGACCTATGAACTAATGGTCTCAAACTCAATAGGATAACAAACTTGATCGGACACTGATATAACAAATACGTAAAACGTTGCATGTACCCACCATGCTTACTGACCTGAAAATCAAAAGGGATCATCTTCTAATAATTAACTATAAATGGTCAAGGCCACGGTGACCTTTGACCTACTTAACTCAAGATCGGTTGTGGTCATCTACATCCACATCAATATTTTGACTATTGACCAAAGTTTTCTTAAGTAAATAATCGGGCAAGCTTTAAGTGGTCAATCCAAAGATGACCTTTACCTTTGATTGTTTGACCTTAAAATAAATAAAGTATATCTACAAGCCATGGGTAGCATCAAAACCAAACCGTAGGGCTTTAGGCCAAAATGTCTCTAGTCATAGGTCGGACAAACCTAAGTGGTAAAGACCACAGTGACTTCGACCTTTGACCATCAAATAATAATGGGCCATTTACTGGCCTTTGGCAATGTCCAGAACAAGTGTCAGAAACGTAGGCTTATTGTTGGATATCTGAAATTATCGTTCGGACAAGGATAAATGTACGGACACACTACTTGATCTAAGTATGCTCCTGCTATCTAAATGGGGGCGTCAAAATCATCATACAATGGCTCAATATTTGATATACATGTACTTCAATATGTGTCTGCTGCTGTGGTTGGTACTGTTTTTGTGTTATTAGGTTTTGTAACCGAAAATGTAGATACTTCATGAATGCTTGTGAAAATTTAAAAGCAAGTATCGTTAATAAAATAGTTTCATATTGAAACCATCATTAAAATGAAACATTACAGACTTCCCTGCGGGAAAATAACTTCAGTAACCGTGAAATTGTGAATAAATGCGGTCACTGTCATAACACACTGATTTTGAAGATAGAGGGTGGATATAAAATGATTCATAAAATATTTCCGAATTTAATATCATAAATTGTGATCTTACTTCTCTCTCCCCCCCCCCTCCCCCTTCCCTTGATTTATGTGTTCAAATGCCCGTAAACCTAAGAAATAAACTGTATCTCTTCCTTTAAACATTTAAAGTACATTTTTTTAATAATAATCATTACGTCTGAACGAAATATGTTGACTTCACATTCAGTAAACAACACGGATATAGTTCGGCGTACGTGCAATCTAGTACGGTGGGCTTTGAATGGGGACGGGGGAATGTACTTACACAAATAATAATAACGTAGGTTGGGATTGTTTTATCTTGTAAATTCCGTCAAACAAAACAACTGTTTTAGGGGTTTACTGTAAGTTTTATCTCTCATCCGCCAAGGTACGTCGGTTGTTCAAATAGTTGGTGATCTTGGAAATTACAAAAAGATGATTTCTTACCATTTTATGCTATAAGATCAAATCTTTATAGACTTGGCAGTGAAATGTTTGGGGTTCTTATGCTACAATTTGTGCCCTCTGGGCTGATGGACATTCATTTAGCATACGAGTAGATTACACACATCTTGTTAATTCACTGTTCGTTGCTCATTGAGCCATGTGTGTAGAAGAACTGGATTGCTGCTTGTAAATTTAGGCACCCAACAAATAATACTTTAATAGCACGGTGTTGGATTTCTCATCTTGTACATGAAATGTTGACGCAAGAGACTCTTGTGACTGTATCCAGTATAGAATTATTAGAATTAGTTGAAAACAACAACAACAACAACAACCAACACAATTGTAATTATCTATCATCTATCTGTTATTTTATTTTACGTACCAATGTAAAAGTCCACGTATGTTTAAAATTGCTGATGCCAGCATTTTTAAAAGTATATTTTACACCGAAAAACTAATGTATAACAATGATTGCAAATAGTTTAAATTGGCATAATTGACATGTTTTCGTTATTTATATCTTACAGACAAAGAACAGAGTACCAACAACCTGGTGGTAAGTAATTATGTTATTTCAATTATTTCAAAATTAAGTCAATAGAAATAGATAATAATAATTAACTGTAAGAATATCTCTCTTTGAAGCAAGTTTTACGACTTCATTTAAAAAGAACTTCACTAGGGTAAAAAAGCCTAAAAACGTAAAGTTTAAAATCCTTGCAAAGATCAAGTTATGCAATTAAAATGGAAAAGTCTGCAAACGACAATAAAGTAATATACTCAGGATTAAATTGATTGTTTTTTTATATTTTTATTTACATTGTTTTATTTACTTTGGGGTGTGGGGGTGGCGGGGGAGGGCGATTTAAGCCCTGTTTGAAACGCTTTTCATATTTTGGTAATTTTGCACAATTTAAGTTAATCCTCTGGGTAAACGGAGTGAGGGAATGACCTGAACTTTTGCACACAAGTTATGAGAAATGGTAAACAATTGCCGAAAAAAATCATCCAGTTCCTTCATGTAAATGTCTCCACTTAAATCCATTTAAAGGTTATAGCAGAAAAAAAATGGTGCGAAAGAGCGCCGCAACCAATTCCTATGTATAAGTTTTTCTGACATAGAGTTTTAGAAACGAAGCACTCTTTTAACGACTTTATTTCTTAGGTTTTCAAATATTTTAGCGATTTTTTTTATCTTTTTAAACGCTAAAACTTTAAAGTCGTTTGGAATTTTAGCTTTGTTTTTTTAGTAAGTTTCCGTGAGCAGTGTCGGCCATTATGACAAATCTTTTGAATTATTTAAGGCCATATGCAACGGTGGCTAGAATATCATTTTAAGAAGACATATTTTAAGTTTTTTGCTGTTCTCTGCATTTTGGATGAGCTATTTGAGCCGTGTCATGACAAAACCAACATAGTGGGTTTGCGACCAGCATGGATCCAGACCAGCCTGCGCGTCCGCGCAGTCTGATCAGGATCCATGCTGTTCGCTATCAGTTTCTCTACTTGTTATAGGGTTTGTAAGCGAACAGCATGGATCCTGATCAGACTGCGCGGATGCGCAGGCTGGTCTGGATCCATGCTGGTCGCAAACCCATTATGTTGGTTTTGTCATGACGCGGCTCATTTGACCAAACAGACGATGCAATGTGACACATATGTCATGTTTCAACATAATTTCAGCTTTATTTTACAACTTTCATAAATTATATAAGATATAATTATACATAATTATGTTACATTTAAACTTAATTCCGTAAAGTCAGAAAAAAAGTTTAAATTTACTTGACATGCATGTTGATCTGAACATACTTTGTTTCATATTTGTACAAAACAGAGCTGCTAAAAATATTTTCCTCGTGCAGACCAGACGGAATGCAATGAAGGATGAATTTGTTGTTCTTTTTAAAATCTTAATTTAATCTTTAATCTTAAAATTTTACCATGACCTATTCCAAGCATTTGATATACACGTGGCACTAATCTAATGTTTAAAGAAATATTTGGAACGCTGGTAAATAGTTGAAAGAGATATAAGGATATACAGTTTTCATTTAGAATGAATTATACATCATTTAGATTTTCATTGCCCTCAATGTTTGCGTTGAGATTTCCTAACAAAGAATTCGTTTGGTTTTAAAGGTGTGTACTGTAAGGCATTTTTTGTTGAGGTCATAAGTTTGAGTCACATCCCAAGTGTCTGTGATCAGCAGTTTATTATTGTCGCCGTGAACGAATTGTTGCAGAGTATAAAAAGGAAAAGAAGAAAAAAAACATTAATATAATTTCCATGCAATGCATAATTATTTTTTTCGTTTCAGTTCCAAAAGTGCCTGGAGCGGAAGTGACGTCAATTCCGGCAGACGGCAACTTGAGCGGATTTAACGTTGATCAGATGGTGACAATATTTCGTCTGCTGCGCATACCGGAAGATATAGTGTACAGATTCAGTAAATGTAACGTAGATGGCAAGAGATTTGCAGTGTTCACTGACTCAGAAATGACTGACCTTGGTATAAACAATCCAATAATCCGTTACTTTAGAGACAGAACGGCTAAAACGCAAAAACGGAAGTCTGGTAAATTCATGTTATAAAAACAAGGGAGGTTACTTAGTCAAAATCAGATTTCTACAGTGTTGCGGGAAAAAAGATGTTGAAATTGCTCCTTAGAGCACCAGTTTATTCTTCTTCTTTCAGACCAACTTTTTTGTACGGTATTTCATTTCATATATGTTCATTTTATATATCAACGAAGTTATTTTCGTTTTCACTGATATCCCTCATGGAAAAACAAAGACTTACTTCAATGCAATTTGTTGCTTGCTTTCAAATCTATATTTTCCCCAAGCTGAAATTTGCAGGTCTGTGGTCGACTAATACCTGAAATGAAGATAACCTATGTCATGTATATATTCACGTTTAAATTAATTTCAAGGGTCAGTATTATATACGCACATGTGTAATAAAATATTTATGATTTAAACGCTTCTTGTGAGATATATGTGTTGTTTTGTGACAAAAGGGAGACAACTGTAATGTATGTTTATATGTAAAAACAGCTAGTCCAAAAGCGCAAAGCTTCTGTATAGAGACGACTGGCAACCCATACAAGAAACACATCTTTATAAAAAGTAAGGAATCTTGTTTATGTCATATTTATAGATACGGCTGTAGGCACGTGGTAATTAACACTTCTAAAGATAATAATTTGTATTTACAATTCACACAAAAATGGGATTCAAATCCTGGAAGAGATGATGAAGTCGTAAATGTATAAACAACATATTTTTCTCCCAATCTGCCAATATTTATAAGGGTACATGCACACTTTTGATCAAGGTTTTAAATTGGTGTGAAAGACGTTAATACATTTCACATTCAGCTATAAAATATTGATAAGTTTTCGTCGCTCTAATTCCAGAGTGTCGAAACTCCAATTCTGGAAAAAAATGAGTGTCTGGAATCAAAGTGTTCGTATTTTTTTAGCTCTATCTAATGGTATTAACACAAAAAAGCCTGAAAATAAAACTCGGCCAACAGAAAATCAAAATTCAAAATCTAAATACTCTGCATTTATAGCAGGTGATTCAATGACAGGTATCCTGAGTGCAAACAGAATGTCAGACTTTAATGTGAAAGTAAACATCAAGACTCACTCTGGTGGAAGAATACGCACAATTGAAAATACCTTCATATCAATGAATGATACAGATTCAAATGGAATAAAGGATAAAGATGTAATATTACTTCATGTAGGCACAAATAATATATCTGATGCAGATTCCAGCCAGTACATAGTTGATGAGCTGAAGGAAACAATACACACTGTAAAAACCATCAACTCAAAATGTAAAATAATCATTTCTTCAATTCTACCTAGAAGAAACGACAAACTTGTCAACACCATTATATCTGAAACCAACAACAGGTTTAGAGATCTGTGTACAGATGGTGGTCACCACTATATCAACCATGACTCTGACTTTATCCTACATGGTACTCCAGACAAGTCGTTGTATAAAGACTATTTACATCTAAATAGAAAGGGTGGAAAACTGTTTGGAACAACCATGAGGAAGGCTATAAACTATGTCCTAGGCATATCTACGATGCCATCTGATGACCATAGTAGTAACAAAATGGACAACAAGTCTCATTTTCAGAAAGGGAGGTTTACAGGGAGGAGAGACGAGAACATGGTCTACATGCCAGTACCAACTTCATGGCTGAGGAATCAGAATTCTTGGGATCGCCGTCGTTAAATAATTGTGAAAGTAATTCATTTCAATATGGAGAAACCAATTTTAATTTGACTAATGAAATTGTAAATGACAATACTTTAAACTATGACTCCAATAAGAATAGTAACTCTTGGTACACGCATAAAGGGTTGAACATACTACATCTTAACATTCACTATTTGTACCCAAAATTAGACGAACTTAAAATTATAATTTCAGAACAAAAGATTGATATACTCTGTTTATGTGAAACGTTTCTAAATGTAAATTTTCTAGACAATGAACTACAGTTGGACAATTTTACACTTTTTCGCAAGGACAGGCCTTCCAATGGAGGCGGTTTAATTATTTATGTTAGAGACTGTTTATCTTTTGTACATAGATCTGATTTAGAAAGTATTTCTATTGAATCCATTTGGCTTGAACTTAAACAGCCTAAATGTAAATCATTATTATTGTGTTATGCATACAGACCACCATCTTCTAAAGTTGAGTGGCTTAATAATTTTGCTATATCCTTAGAAAAATCATTTTTAGAGGAAAAAGAATGTATTGTTATTGGAGATTTTAACTATGATATTTTGAAGCATGATAATTGTTCTAAATCTTGGTTAGATCTAATGCAGTCTGTAAATTTTTCTCAGCTTGTTGAATCTCCTACCAGAGTAACTTCAAGCTCTGCTACATTGATAGATCATGCATTTTCAAACATGCCTCAAAATATAGTCGATGTTTTTGTACCTTCCTTATCCATAAGTGACCATTTTCCAATTTGTCTTTCACGCTAACTTTCAAATATCAGTGTTAAAGGTCCCATGCATAAGACAATAACCTTCCGGTCTCTTAACACTTTGATGAAAATCGATTTTTAACCGAATTGTCAGAGCAACCCTGGTCAGAAGTAGCATCTGTAGAAAATCAAGATAACTCTATAGATTTGTTCACTGGTAAATTTTTGTCCGTCCTTGAAAAACATGCACCAACCAGAAAAAAACGAGTAAAGAAGGTCACCCAACCAAACTGGATTAATAAAAACATCCTCGATGCTATTAAAACAAAACACCAGTTTCATAGGTTTAATGACACATATAATTACAACATATGGAAACAACACGTTAAGTCTCTCATATATGATTCTAAGCGACAATATTATAATGATACCATCAATAAAAACAAACACAACCCAAAGAAATTATGGACTGGTCTAAATGAATTATCTGGTTACAAATCCAAGGTTCAAACACATTTTATTGATGATGATGATGGCAACCCGGTTTCTGACCCTTTAATCACTGCAAATTTATTCAACAGACAATTTGTGAATCTCCACCAATCCCATCCTACCATTAATCAGACTGGTTATGAAAACCCTGAGCTAGTTGAACTAAATGCATCTAAACTTCAGCATATACCCTCTTTCAAAATACCTAAAATAGAGCTCTCTTATGTGTTGAACCAATTAAAATCGATTGATATTACAAAGTCATGTGGGTCAGATGGTCTCAGTGCAAGGTTTCTAAAGTTATCGGCTCATATTATTGCTCCCATACTTACCACTATATTCAATAACAGTATTCTTAACAATACATTTCCTAAATCATTCAAAAATGTAAAAGTCATTCCTATACATAAAAAGGGTTCTAAAAGTGATAAAAGAAATTATAGGCCAATTTCCATACTTCCCTTGATATCACTTATTCTTGAACGTCATGTCAGTTCACATTTAAAGCAATACCTTGAGAAAAATCAACTTCTATACCAACGTCAGTCTGGATTCAGGTCAAATCATTCATGTCAAACAGCATTGATTAGAATTATTGATGATTGGATTACAGCTATTGACAAAAATGAAATAGTTGGTTCAATTTTCCTTGATCTCTCTAAAGCTTTTGACTTTGTGGATCACTCTATTATTATTGAAAAGCTTAGAATGTATAACCTAGACCCTTCATCAGTTGCTTGGTTTTCCTCCTATTTAGATTGCAGAACCCAACAAACTTACATATCCGGTTTATATTCAGAGTCAAGTTCAGTAACTACTGGAGTTCCTCAGGGCTCAGTGCTAGGTCCTATACTGTTTTTAATATATATCAATGACCTGCCTTTGTCTATGGAAAGAACAGAAACTGATATTTTTGCTGATGACACCACCCTTTAAACCTCTGATGTATCCCTAAACAGAGTAGTTGAATCTCTTACTCATGATCTTTTAAATGCCAACAAATGGTGTGATTTGAATCGCATGTCTATCAATGTTAACAAAACTAAGGTCATGTATATTTCCTCAAAACACAAGCAAAATTATATTCATGAAAGTAATCCTTGTATTTTATATAAAACAGAGCAAATTTTCTGTAGCTCTGAAGAAAAATTATTGGGTATTACAATTAATAACACCTTGTCTTGGCAAAGCCATATTGATAATGTTCTTAAAAAGTGTAACTCATTGTTACATTTATTATCACGTATAAAATTATTCATATCTATACCTGTACGTAAAATGTTTTACAATGCATATATTTTACCACATCTTGATTATTGTTGCATAATTTATGGTAACTGTACGTCTTTTCTAGAAGATAAACTCATTAAGTTCCAAAAGAGAGCTGCAAGACTAATTCTAGACAAAGATTATGACACTCCATCTGCTGCACTATTTTCTGAACTCCACTGGATGACCTTTTCACAGAGGGTTGTTTTTTCAAAAAGCTATTATGATGTTTAAAATAATAAATAATCAGGCGCCTTCCTATTTATTGAATAATTTCATTTTATCGTCAGATGTTCATACTCGCATTTTGCGTTCATCATCTGATTTTCAACTTTATACCCCTAGACCAAATACTGAACAATTTCGTAAGTCTTTTGTTTATTCTGGATCTTGTATTGGAACGGCCTTCCTGATTATATTAAGTCTGCTACATCTGTTAACCATTTTAAAACCTTATACTTGAGGTTTTATCACGCATTGATGTATACAAATTGATAATCTCCTGTATGTTTTTACATTTATGTATTTTAATAGTTTGAAAATGTTAAATTTATATTGTTCCTTGTTGAGGGCCTCATGGAAGATTGATATGTTTGTTCAAATGAGTTCTCTCGTTAAATAAAGTCTTTATTATTATTATTATTATTATTATTATTGTTATATGAAAGCATATCTCGGATTCTGTATATCATATCGAAATCTGGTTATATGAAAGCATACCTTGGTTTAAGCATATCACATCGGAATTGTGTTATATGAAAGCATATCTCTGGTTAAGTATGCGTATATCACATCGGAGTTAACGTGTTCAGCACATCATATAGGCATATGGTTATATGAAAGCATATGTAGGGTTAGTTATATCACATTGGAATTTGGATACATAAAAGTATATATCGGGTTAATAAAATTAGAATTTCGTTTTGTGAAAGCATATCCCGGGATAGATATACAAATTTACCACATCTATTTTTGGTTCTATGAAAGCATATCATAGATTAAGTATTTCACGTTAAAATTTGGTTGAATGAAAGCATAATTTTCATGGAAAAGGTATCTCACGTTTAAATTTGGGGCATGAAAGCATATCATGGATAAAGTATTTCACATCGCAACTGGAATATATGAAAGCATATCTTAGCTTTATTAAATATAATACATCGGAGATTTTTTAGTTAAATGGACATATATTGCAATACATCTTAACGTCAGTGATTTAACCTTTAAAAGATAGAAATTATACATCATTGACCTATTTCTATTTACTTCCATTCTTAAATTTACATTTTAATCTTCAATGAAGAAATTATTCCATTCAATCGGCGCAAGTCATCTACCTGTCGAAAATGAATAAAATCGGAATTCATGTGTAAAATATTGAGTGAAAATGGTATGGGACTTTTTACTGTTATTGAAATCCGATAAATGAAGCGAGGCTTTAGCCATCCGTAAACATTTTGTACACGTTTATATAGAAAAGATAATTACTTCATAGTCAAATATGCAATGAATTCACGATTTTTAAGCGAGAAGCACTTGTAAGTCGGGTAGATTCCTACTAATTAAGAAGGATTAATTTTGTGTTTATATTAAAAAATATTATAAGTAAGTAAAACTTTCTGATTCGAAGTGATACTGAACGTGGAAATTACATGAGGAAGATAACTTTATCTTATATTTAAAATAGCAGACGACAATTATATTTTGACGACTTGACCAGCAGACGACAACATGGGTGAATCGGTGCAGCTTCTGAAAATGAAGCAGTACGCATTAAATAGACTTTCGAGTCGTGAGGAATTTACTGTAACAAACGCTTCCATTAATAGTAATGGTCAAACATACGAAAACTTAAAGAGTCGGGGTGAAAGGTCAACGTACGAAACCTTAAAGATTCAGGGTGAAAAGTCACCAACGTCACATTCAACAACCAATCAGAACAACGGATTTATAGGGAATAAAGAATATGGTGACTGGGATAGGTAAGGACACTGTTTTAATGACTTAGAATAAGATAGAATATAGGCAAAGTTGACGTCTAAAACACCGTCAAATAGAGGTCAAAGAAAGAAGTATGACAGAAGGTCGCCATTTATTTTTCAACAATTAAAATGAAATTTTACGTCTTATTAGAGATAACTTTTCAACAAAGGTCATATTTACATACGTTTGACTATGTAACAATAATTCAATCAGCCAACTATTTTTAAGGCCTAGTGGTCAATTTGAATTGATGAACCCGTTTACAGTGCACGTGTTACGGTATTTAATTACGAACATATGATAATTATTTTTCCAGTTGATTGCATATGCATTTTTCATATCTACAGTCTTGCTTTTTCAGTTCATTGTAACAAGTTATTACAATGAAGCAAGACCATAGGAATGAAAAGTACATAGTAAAGTCTAAAATAAATTTTCTGTTCAGTTTTTGTAACCTTATAGAAATAAAAATAACATATAATTCAGTTAAAACATATTGATATCCAAAAGTGTAAAAGAAATATCGTTTTCATGTCAATGAGTAAGTTAACTTTGTCATGCAAATAACTAAACAAAATAAGCATGTCATATTTGTTTCTATAGGTATACAATATGCATTAAACTTTAACTGTTTTGTGACAGTATGCAACCAAAGGTATTGGTCACATTTTCTAAGTATATATAAAACGTTACAAGTTCATTTGTTTGCAACCGTAGAGCACATCCGTGGTGTATAATGCATATAGTTACCGTTGCCAAACAATTTTCTGGTTGAACAAGATTCTTTCTTTTTGATGTTCCATTCCTAGTACTTAAGCATTTGTTCTCAGTTTGATAAACATAACATTATTATTACTGCAATAATGAAAGAAACATATATAATGGGCCCTTATTAGAACAGGACCTTCTTGAATATACGATGCATATTGTAAGTGATTTTTATTTTTGTATTTTATGTTTGACCGAAATTATAAATGGCTGAACATTTTGTTGCATCTTTTAAGAGTTATGGAACTCTTTCATTTTTAGCATTAACATTATGAATCAACCATAGGTGTATACAGTAATATTGTTTCGAAAGAGTTCCATAACTCGATATTCTTTCTTTCCGTCACTGTATATAAAAAGTTGAAAATAACTTTTTGTACTCAAGTTACTTCACCACACATTTCATTATGTTTGACATACATACGCACAGAAGTCGCACAAGGTTTCGTTACTGTCTCTCTGCACACACACAAAAAATCACATACTGTAAGGTTATTTTGCACTTCAAGGTGTTTTCTTTTCATATATGACAGTAACGATTAATTTCATGGTTTTTATTACTTTACAAAATTTTCAAAATTGATGTCACCTTGAATACGATTTTGTTGGGTAAAATATTCAACAGTCATTAAATTGTAAAGAATCTCTTCATCTAGAATACAGATTCTATCGTTGGCCTTTCATAAATATGATAGCTATATAGAGAATACAATTTGAAAATTATTATCATCCTGTCCTTAAACATTCTTTGAATAACTGTTTTATTCAATGTTCACGTCATAAAATGTTTGAAAAGATTTAAGATTTAATAGTCCCCATTTTCGCGATAAAATTCATTTATCGTTTACAATTTCTAAAACTTGCAAACACGTCTTGCTTTTGTATAAGATTGTAAATAAAGAATGAATACACGAATTTCAGTAACTGACAATTTAACATAATAGATCTCGAAAGACAACCTTTAATATAATAATTTTAGAAGAAAAATAACCACATTAAAGACATCTATTTAATTTGTTCTACCATGAAGTCGTTGGAATATCAATGTTTATATTGATTTATTGATAACTTACAATTCTGGAACGCCTAATATAAGTGAAGTGGGTGATTCGGTTAATATTGACATATTGACAATCTTAGGAGACAACATCCATCCTTTGATAGAAAAGGAATAAGAACAAAGCAATATGCAATCAAGTTGAAGCTGAAATAAAGTAAACTAGCCGTCTATTTCTTGCTGTGTCATTCAATCTGTACCATCGCCGTAAAAAATATTCTCTTTAGATAGATCTCCTATGTCTCCTAGTTATGCAAAACCCCTCGCGGAGAACGAAGACATGTTTCTTCTGGCGTATTGCACAGCTTAAAACTTTCCGTCAAAGAAAATAGGTCATGAAAAATTCTAAAAAAAACAACAATAACAACTTTTGTAAAAGCTCCGTGAAGGTCCAGAATATCTTTATTATTTGCTATATTGTAACATATTATGTTGGAACATAATGTCATGATACAGATCATCGTCAAAATGCCCAACTGCATGATGACACCATTATAAACATGATCTGTAAAAGCATAGACATGAGTGTAAACATCCGCCTTCAAGTATTCAGTGCCTTCCCTGCATTACTGAAAGCGGATTTGTTTTTTGTTGTTTTTTTCATTTTACGCCTTTTCCCAACAGTATTTCAGTCATATTGGCGGGTAGTTTCCTAACCATCGTTCCTGGAGAGTTACACCAGTACTAGACTACCTTCCTCCGTGCTAAACTACCAAAGCATCCTCCGGGGATCGAACCAGAGGTAACTGGATTAGATGTCATCGACTCTAATCCCTCGACCACGGAGGCGGTATTACCGAAGGCGGAGGAGAGCCCAATCATAACATTGGAGTAAACCTGAAATGTAACATACTTTGTCACTGGGAGCTCTGTAGTCATAGGTTAGACTTTAAGCCATGTACACTAAAATGTTTATTTCGACACCTGTTAACTAGTCTTTTAAACACAAACTGTAAGACGTTAAGATAAACGTTAGAACTTTTCTACGCTCGGTATGACTTTAAGACAGATAGACTCCCCCTCCCTCCTCCCAATTAAGACCATTTAACCCATTGTCATTCTTAATTATGGAAATAACTGTACATTTAAAATGTGAATAGTCAAACTAGGGATTATTTGAAAAAGGGGACTAAACATTTTAAAGAACTAAATTTACAGCGCCCATACATAGTTCCATAGCGACGTGGCGCCCTCACTATTTGAGCGGTTTTGCCGCGCATGACTATTCATTCTAGCGCATTATTTCAAGGCACTACCAATTTTTTGCAGCATACCATTCATGTAGATAAACGATTCTGTCTTGAGAAGTAGAGCAACAGTCCTAAAATGAGTTAACTAATAACAACACACCTGATTTCTTTAATAAATCTTCAAGTGCTAATCGGGTGTAATATGTATATATTGACATAATCGGTTTGTGTACACATTGTTATTGCCTACGTACACTAAAATACGTTTTTCTTTTCTTTCAAATAGCGATTTTCATCACTTTTCGCCATGTGTTTTAAGAGTTTTAAGCGTCCATGTTGCCTACACAACAATCTGAAATAAATTTTTGGGCAAATGAATTGTTATAATCGCCACCTTTCATTAACAGCACTAAGGTGACGGACTATCTTTACTGTTGTCTACCAATAAGAGAAGTGAGAAGAGCTTAAAATATACGATTAAAAAATTTGATTAATACTTTTTTGACAGTTTTATGTAACACACATTGGTAGTATTGGTCACTGACCTTTATAATTCACGTAAAATAGCGAAATATGCCGAAATCTCACCAACTCTTGATGCGAGGATTTACGTTCTTTTTGTGGTACTATAATACAACATTTAAGTCTTTATAATATATTCTCTATGTAAGGATTGACAGCGTGAAATTGATTGGTGCCTTGGTGCGTACAAAATTGAAGGGTAGCTTAAATTGAAAATATTTCTAAACTATTTAGTGGTTTAAATTGAAGGATGTTAAATGTACTTTGAAGATTTTATCATTGAATAAAATCGTTCAACTTAAAATATGTGTTCAAAGCTTAACACGGCAATACAATTTATTAAAAGAATGAATGAAATCGTTTTTTTTTTCTAGTAATATTAAAGTTACAAAAACAATATGACGTGTACATTAGTAATCAATTTTAAGCTGTCAGTGTTTAGTGTACACTAGCAATATTAATGTACACAAGAAGTGTTGAATGTACACTAGTTACATTATTTTATACTGGTTAATGTTTAATGTGTACTTACGATAGTGATATTAATTTTAAACTAATTAATATGAAATATACGATATTAGAAATAAATGTGCACTGGCCATATATCATATGTATACAGGCGATATTAAATGTACACTTTTGATTATAAATGTACCATGACTGGTAATATATTGAATGTACACTTAACCACTAAAACATGTAATATAAATTAAACCATTTAACGTACATCAGTAATATTTTATAATGTGTCATGATGCTCTGGTGTCTCAGAAACGCATACATTTTTACTTTTTTAAAAAAGGCAAGCATGAATTCAATCATGTTACCTTATGAAAATAGCGCTATATCTGCAATAATTTGTCATAAATGTGCCAACATGTAAACAAAATAGTATTTTGTGAAATACTAAATCACTATAACTGTACTAAATTCCAAAAAAGCAACAGAAGAAAAAGATGGTTCAGGTAATTTGCAAATAAGTAACTTCTTGGAAACTATATAAGTACACCAAAAATAAAAAAGCTTGGACATAATGGGCCTTTAATATATAATATTTCTACGTTATCGTAAACAATTCGTGATGCAATTAGGCACGGATTTATATTTATACTGTAATATAAATCCGTGAATTAGGTTAACACTCACTGCTTAGTCTCGAGTGTGTCTGTATAAAGTAACAGTTTCGATCGAACTAAAATGAATTCTTTATAAGTTAATTCTCTAAATCTAGTTTGTTGATTAAAATTTGTCATTTAATTTCAATGTTTGTATATGGCATGAAACTGTTTAAATGGTATGTAATTTATATGAAAGTACAATTTGTCAAAATACAATTATAATGTAAATAAAGTCAAGAAAGCACATTCTACTAGTTTCGACTTTAATACTATAAAAATGATAGACACATCTGTTGTTGTTGATAACAGAACAGAACTGAACTTTTACTTTTGATTTGTATACA